GGTTCCAACAATATGAAGAGATTCAATTGGTTTACTGAAACTGAAGAACAAATGACAGATATATTCACACAAGGATTGCATCTCGGAAGATTTGAGTTCCTCAGAAACATGAATCAAAGAGGAGTATGAAGGGAACCAAGACGGGTTCAAGTTACTCAAGATATGTCTGAACAAATAACTGCAACAACAGTCATTTAAGGTTCTAAAAGCTTCGTTCGTGTGATTAGAATAACGGTCTTCTTGAAACTGGGTCACATTCGACTCCGCGTTCCCTTTCTTGAAGGCTGCATCCATGGCAAGAACATCTTCAATCTCCTACTGGTCATTCAGATCATTCATCTTCTCGGACCAGAGATAATCTTGGGTAAGAGGGTCCAAACTCTGATCGAGATCTCCCATGTTTCTTACGGGTTCCCGGGCGAAATTGCTGTAAAGGCACTGAAGCTGGTGGTCTGTCCTCGAGTTCTTGTCCACAAAACCCAAACCCTTCTCACTGCGAGGACAATCCGGGTTCTGGCAGGTGTATAAAACATCACAAGACGTCGAACCCTCGCCCTCCTCCCTGCCGAAATCAACCTTTCTCTTGTTATCACCCGGCTGTTCTTGAACAACCTGCTTGTCTTTTCCAGTTCTTGATCTGACGAAACACGGTTCTTGATCTTGTTCTTTGTCGTCAGAGATCTCGAGGCATTTCTCAGTTAGTTGCAGAAGAGCTTCTTCTTGGTTAAGGACTCGAGACAACGTGTCGGTTTCCTTCGCCATCATCTTGTCCTGCAGACACTTGGACTGTCTGACGAGACGTCTCACTCTCTCCAGAGTGTATGGATGCCCTTGGATACAGTACGCCTTGCCGCCTTGGGGGTGAGGGATGTTGTTCTCTTAAATGTGTTTCAATGCTATGAATTCAAGAGCCACATAAATATTCTGCAGGGTTCTGGATATTTTAGAAAGACTTGTAACAGTCTTTTTATTACTACAATACACACACACAAATACTTGCAGATAACAACATATGTAGAACCTTAAATGACTGTTGTTGCAGTTATTTGTTCAGACATATCTTGAGTAACTTGAACTCGTCTTGGTTCCCTTCATACTCCTCTTTGATTCATGTTTCTGAGGAACTCAAATCTTCCGAGATGCAATCCTTGTGTGAATATATCTGTCATTTGTTCTTCAGTTTCAGTAAACCAATTGAATCTCTTCATATTGTTGCACCTCCCTCAGTTGATGTGATGATACTTGATCTTAAAGTGTTATGTTCTCCCATGGAACACTGGAATTTTTCGGAGACTGTAATTGTAGATTTGATTATCTACAAACACTTTGCATTTCAAACCGAGGTTTTTCACAAGTTTCCTGAGCCATAAAACTTGTTTTGCTGCTGGCAACATATACAGTTCCTGATGTACTCTTCATGTCAATCACTGTCTGAAAATCCTATTAACTCATATTCTTCATTCTTCTTGGATAGAATGCCATGTGGGGGAGTTTCATTAAATACCTTAGTATTCTCTTTGCTGTTAAAATAACAAGACAATGGATTTTATCAAAAAAAAACAAGACAATGGATTTTTACACCAAAGAGAATGTCAGGTACATGAGACAGCCAATGATTCTCCCTATACATCTTCTCATTTGTAGTTTCAGATTCTGAAAACTTGTGCAGTCTTTCATTGGGGTCGAAGGTTGTAGAAAAACAACATTGCATCTTTGGTAGATGTCTTCAAGTGATCTTGTCCCTGTCAATGGAATGGAGGATCATCAAATCTATCGACAATCTCAGTTTCTTCTGTGGTAAACTGCAGAGGATCAGGAACAGGTTGTTGTTCAGCTTCTGAGTTAACCACTTCTCTGTCATCCCATTTTCATTCTTCACTTTGTTTCAGGTACATATACTCTATATGCCTTCGCAACCAAACTGTAATCGACCAAGATGCCTTATGTTGCCTTGTTGTCACGTTTGATTCCTAGGATCAATGAGAAACCAAAATATCTTCAGATGGCTTCATAAGGTGTCATCAAACACAAAGATCTTGTAGGCAGCCGATTCTTCTCATGTAGCATACACCTCGACATCTCTGTTATCGACCGATTTCCTCTTTCACTTACCCTGTTTTGTAGGGGATTTCGGAGACAGTAAGTCTCGAGTCTTCCATCTTGATTCTTTCTCTCTCTCTCATCGAATCTCGTCCTCTCGGTCGAGCCTTGTCCTCCTGAGTCATCGCCTCATCCCCAAGTACATAAGGATCGGATAACCAACCATTACAAAAATGATCTTACCTTTTGTATTTGTCTCAGAATACAGAGACATAACAAATATCTATAGCTGGTAAAGATTATTCATGTCATACACGAAGGAAGATAATTTCATACAATATGCGGTTTTGCCCTTCAACAAAAGTATGCGACTCAACGAGAAAACAAGGGTATTTGCTAAGAATTATGAGGATATTATTATGCTTTCCTCCACGATCTTTATGCAGCATTTGTTAATCTGAAGTGATACATTCAACGAGAATACTTTGCCCACAATTGATATCGAATATATATCTTCACTAGGATGTATATATATATCCCACTAGAAGCTGCAGTGTACAAAGCTATGTCCAAAGGTGACAAAGATGATGTCTCGTTGAAGTGTATGCAGACCCTAAAATTGGAAGGACCCCATATTTTTAATTTATTTTTTATTATAAAAATGTTAAATTTTAATTAAATTATATATAACACTTAAAAACATTATCAAAACTCTTCACAAATATAAATTATTTATAAATTAATTTATAGTTATAATAAAATATTTATTTAAAATGCTTCTAAATTATTTACTTTCATTATTTTATTTTTAATTTTATTGATAATAAAATAAACAAATAATTTAAAATTATTATTTTTATCTAAATTTAAATGAAATATAAATACAATAATATTCAATAATAAAAATTATATTAAAAAACTCTAAATTTTAATAATTAAATTAATAATTTGTATACGGCCTCAATTTTTTTTGAGACGGTTCTAAATGTGTGCATACGTGCTTGCGACTCGGAGAAAGAAAAAGATGGCTAAAACAGAGTAAACCTCGGTTTCAGGAAGAAACTTTGCGTTAGATATCATCGTATTGGAAAGGGGCCTAATTAACGAGCTCGGGGCAATTTGGCTATTTCGTCGAAGTCGATAATTGGCCTTTAAATTTCTGTTATTGGCTCTAATAGAGAGGGGTTCATCTTCGGAGACAACATCGAAATGTGGACACTTTACAATCTGGTAAAAAATGTATAGTTCACTAAAACTAGACAAATCACATGTGGACACTTTACAATTTCGGAGACAACATCGAAATGTACGGTATCTAGACTCGATATTTTTGGGGCATGTTGATGCTCGTCTTAACAAAAACTCAACCACGGTAATCTCGAGACCGATTTCACAAATCTAACCCCTTTTACCTATATATGATTTTTCTCGACCGATCTACACACACGCACATATATATATAGGTTGTGTTGGGATGTGCATGGAAGGGATAGAGCAGAACCCGATTGTTTACGAGCTAAGGTCGAAGATAACATTTAGATAAAGGAAAGTTTGTGTTGAAGTGATAAATGATAAAACCCGATCATGATACAATGTATAAAGTCTTTACAACTTTTCGGTATATTTTACTTTTCATGATTTGAACGAATGGTTGAAGAATTATACTTGAAGAAGATACAAGAAAGTGAATAATCGAATCAAGATAGCTTGGGAAATTCTCTACCACATTGTCTAAAATTGTATCGACGGAATCATTTTACATTTTTTTGTGCAAGAATAAGTTCCGTCTTTTTTCTGAAGCCTGTGCAAACAAGTATATAAAAATATATATATATATATATATATATATATATAATGTAAATCTAATATCATGAAATCGGCCCGAACCAGAATATTAAAAATAGAAATTTTTATTAAAAAAAAATATAGTAAACGATCGATAACTATTTTTGTAGGGCCGAATAACCATAATCCAACAAATAACTTGCCAGAATCGAATCGAATGCCGAAATAGTTTCAGAAATTTTTTATTAAAAGTCCAATGGAAAATTTAGATGGGCCATGAAAATAGTAGGCCCATTAGATTCTTACAGTTAATTATTAATTTATTGCCCTCATGGCAAGTGCACAACACGCGCGCCTCCCCGAGCCTGAGAGTCCCACTACTCAGTACGAAACTGTCATTTTTTCGAAACGCGGGTCGAGGGAACGGGATCGGAATTTTGGAAAATTTCCTTACGGTTCCCGCCTCGACGAAATCAAGAACCCTAATTTCCTCACTCTCACTGCAAGTATTCTAATCTCCACCAATCTACCGTTCAGATCCTGCAGAATTGGCCACCGACGGATGCCTTTGATCCCTAGGTCCGTAATCTCGTCGGTTAATCATAATTGTCAATCTCCATTTCGTTGTATTCGTATCGAAATCTGACTTTTTGGTTTAGGGTTTATGTTCTCCCGAGGGAATTCCATATTTTCTCTCGTCGTATGTTTTCTTGTTGCAAATGGTTTCTTGAGAGGGTATTCTTGAAGTATCGTGTTTGTGATGAATTTACGTTCGTCGGTTCGGTTGGGCGACTATTCCCCCTTGCCTATGAGGTTTTAGGGTTTTTTCCTTTATTCTCGTATCTCGCTAGTTTCTGACGGGTGAAATTTTATTTTGGATAATTGGATTTCACGTGCTTTGTGATTGGAATCTAAAATTTCCTCCCTTTTTTGTGATTGGGTGATTTTAAGATGACCGGAGATAGCTGCGAAGTAGGTTCCAAGGAAGCCCGCCCTGCTTTGTGTGATATGACTAATCTTCCAAGCAAAAGGGGAATTTCTTCGATGTTGGGTGATTATCTATTGAAATCTGGAGATGAGTCTGGTAAGAATGTCGTGCGTGAAGATCAGGGGGTAAAGTTTTCAAAGAGGTTATGTTTAGTTGTAGAGGATTTGGTTAAGGAGAATTCTAGGGGTAGTGATAGCAAAGCTGGGTCCTCTTCTTTTGAAGATAAGAGCAGTTCTGGTGGCTCTCCCTTAAATGGTGGTTCTGTAAATATTGAACTTGTTGCTGGAAAAGATCCTGGGGATTCTAAGGATGCATCAAATGCGTTAGATGTGGCTGGTGTTCAATCTTTCAAAGGTGATTCTGATGATGCTGCAGTAGAAATTACAGGTGGTGATGGTCATGAATTGAAGGAGAGCTGCATATCTAGTAGTTCTGTGCAGGTGTCTTTAGAAAATGTTGAGAAGAAAGATCATGGGCAGGCATCAAATGTGGCCTCTAATGCAAAAAAATGTTCAGAGGGAGAGGGGTTGCCTAATTCCCAGAACTGCAGATCATTTGAAATGAGTAGATGTTCAACCGTCGACAGGATGGAGCATGTGAATCACAATATGGGAACTGACATGTTAAAATCTTGCACCTGTTCGTTTTGCCTGAAAGGTTTCTGATTCTTCTGCTTTTGATTGACTGTTTCACTTGATTCCGATTAAAAATTCATCTAATTTGATTGTGGCTATAACCAATTTCTTCAGCTGCATATATCTGGTCGGATCTTCATTACCAGGATATCAAAGGCAGGTTATCTGGTAATTCCCATGAGACCTTTTGACTCTGTGTTAATTCCAATGTCACTGGATAAATATTATCCATCCATATATGTGGTAATAAGACATTGATTCATTCATTTAATGTTCCTATTTTAACAGTGTTGAAGAAGAGTCAGAAAGAAGAAAACTAAATAACTCATTTTTTTTATTTACAAAACCAAAAACCAAAAACTCAAAAAAAAAACCACTACCATTCAAAGCCTAGATTGTGACCCATGTTCGACTAAATATAATTTCGTGGGCCAATTTAATATCTTGTTATATGTTAATTGAATTTTCTAGATAAATAATGAGAATTATCTAAAACTGAATAAAAAAAAAAATTGTTACAGTTATCCGATTCAGATCCTACCAAATAAAAAGCTGTAAAGATTCATATCTTACCCAAAAAAATATTCAATAAAGAGATGTACATAACATATGAAAAGTGAAAAAGTGGGTGTATACATGTTTTCATCCAATGAAACTTCACCCTCTCTTGTTTTATCTGAGGACGGTCCATATAATATTCCAATGTGGAGTGAACCCTATCTTCCAAAGCGTGTAAAGCAGATCAATCAACTCTTTAGATCCTCTCGTTGATTTAATTTCCTTTTTAAATTAGTTTAAAGTACATGTATAAACCACCCTTCCTTCAATGCTATTTAGTATATTTAAAATTTAATTCGAATTTTGATTATGTTTTGGTTTATTTTCGTTTTATAAAAGTTACATTTGTTTAGTTTTTATATGTCAGTTATTTCTACTACCAAGTCCATTTAAAAAAAATAGTGATTATTTTCTAAATCATTTATTAGAATTCGTTTTCTTAATTAAAAAATTATGATAATTCAGGTTCCCTCTTCCACCGGTTTCGGCCCTTAACTCAATCATGGGCTTTATTCATGAGCCCAAATATAGCACGTATGACTTTACCATATGAGCCCATTATCAGATAACTCATTTATTCTTCTTTACTATATGGGCTTTTATTCCATAGGGGCCCATATAGCCCATTTAATTCCTTTACCATATGGGCTTTATAGCCCATTATAAGATAATATAACACCACGAGAGCATGTATGAGTTTTTTTCAAAGGATTTTTTTTTTATTGGATTCGTCGAATCAATTTGTTAATTGTAAAGTTAATTACAATGATTTCAAAAGGAATATTAAATTCATATTTTATATAAATTCGAGAATCTCGGTGGTGTCATCACCACCCTCTAACAAATGACACCACCCTCTAACAATAAGATATATATTCTTTTTGACAGAACAACTGTTGCAAAAAATTAATATAAAAAAAATTACCAAAAAAATAATATAAAAAAAAGAATATATTAGCAAGTCGAATCAACTTGACGTTATATTAACGGCGTTTTGTCTTCTCATCGTCGGTATTTACACAATTTATTATTTTTCCGTGAATGAAGGATCGTATTTTATGTGTACTTTTTAACATTGAAAACTATATTGTATTTTGACTTTTTCTCATTGTGGAAATGTACAAAAGATTGTCCAATTTCTCTATATCGCTTCGAATTCTACTCCCTTTCGGCCTTTTGATTCTTGGATTTTAAATATAATATTATTTTTATTATGTGGAAAGCAAATAATCATTTTGCACCAACAAGAGCGTAGGAGAGATTATTATTCTAGAGACATTAGGTTAGAGTAATTTGGTTTCATTAGAAATATACATACGATAATAACACTTATTTTTATTATCTTTTTATATGTAGAGTAATTTAAAAAATTAAAATTAATTTTAGTGTGTCAACCTAGATATACTTCCCACCCCGAGTTTGGGTTCCAAATTGGAGAAAGAAATTGAGCATGATTTCTTCTGTATTCCATGATTAGGTATGATCTACCTAAAAAAAATTAGATATACTCATGTCTCCAATTGTATATATGTACACAGTATCACGAGAATTTTTTTTTTTTTTTTTGATAATCTGGAAGTTCATCGGGTCTTTAGTCCAACTACATCTTCCAGAGGATCGGGGCAACCCATGTGAAAATCTTCCCCAACCAAGAATCGAACCGCCAACCTCTAAATGTTTTGCACCCAACTACTGATAACTCGCCCACAAGCTGTTGGGTCACCAGAAAAAACTTGTATGATGAATACTCATGGTCCTGCAATACATACTCAAGTTGAAGTGTTATAATGCTCTCACTTTGTTACAATAATTACGTGCTATCGTCATGCGCATCATATCATATCATAAAACCCTAATCAGAGAAATTTATAGTGATATTAGGTACAATGAACCTAGACGCATATATGGAATAAGAATCTCGAGAAGATTGTGAACCAAACAGTAGTTCCCATTAAAAAGGACGAACTAAAAACTGTATTAAACTGTGAAAAATGGGGGAAACATCATTAAAATTATCAAATAATTCGACGCACTTTGTGAGACATCAATTAAGACTTTTCAAAGTGATTCCCCACTGAGCCAATCTTATTACACATTGAACCTAGACGTTTTTCCGTCATCTCGTATTAGGGTTTCTAGAATGTTTTAATGGATAATACATAGTTTATTTGTGTTTAGAAATATAATTCTATATTTTTTTCGTCATAGATTCTCCATGATTTCACCCATATATAAATTCATTTTAAATGGTTTTATTTTTTTTTCTTTTACAAATTTTAGTTCTATTACTGTAAAGTAACGATATCTAATATTGTATTTTCCGTTACCTTTTAATGGATGGAAAATATAACGATATTCAACGTTAATTGAATTTCGTATAGAGTTTAGATATTAGTATATTTTTTATTTGGTTAAGTTTATCTATTTCTGATATGAATCGAAAATTCTATAAAGGGAAAACTACGATTGGATATTTAAACTCGTTTAATTACTAATAATACACAAGTCGACAAATTTCTATAGCCGACACTTATTTGGTCGGTATGAAGATTCGTAAGTCGTAACTAGCCAGTTTTGTGAACTTTGTTTTGGTGACATTAATATTAGATACCATAGTTTATTTATTGATGATACAGAATATCAAATAGGTATTGATTTTATTTAGATTAAATTGAATTAAAAATTCACATATAAAAACGTAACGCCTCGTTGATAATCATCAAGAGTTCTATTAGAGAAATCATAACGAAGAACACCGCATAAATACATCCATATATACTAGCACATACGGCAATCCCATGCAGTGTGTGTGTGTATATAGAAACAATGGGATATACCCTTTGCCTTTGGTATGTATCTATGAACAAAGAAATTATCGAATGGCAAATCTAATATATTAATCCGTTCTATTTTTAGTGAAAAAAAAAATGCACACCGATAATTAAAATAGCATTTTGTTTATTAGAGGGCCACACTAATAAATTTATAACACGAACTTGACACACGTCGTGACATAATACAAACACCAACTTTGTTACAATAGCGTGCATGGCTTTTATTTAGCATGCCTAAGGTTACGTACCATATGGCATGCGCATGACGATACACCTAGCTACAATACATCATCATGCTCGCAAGGTAAGCAATACCAAGTTCACATACATTACACACCGAAACTAACAATACATATATATAATTTATTTATTTCTAATTAAACTTTTAACCCGATGCATGCATCTAGGGCTTCCCCAATGGTCACGTAGACTTTCCCGCCAATTCTGCTCACGAACTTCGCTTGACTCAGCTTGTGAATCACTTCCCATTTCGGATTTACGATCGCCAGCTGAAATTTGATTTTCAAAACCGACATACTTAGCATTTTTTTTTTCGAAGAACGAATTTTTATGAAACGAATATTTAAAAAAAACTAAGTTATAGTGGCCTCACCTCAACCCCGTATTTGGTAAGATTGTTATGGAGTTCCACCAAAGCCTCAATCCCCGAAGTATCGATATTTATCAAATCTATTGACGACAACAACATGCACGTGAACTTATGAGAATCCACTTTGATTATGTGCACAAGAACGTAAATAAAATATAGATTATATAACAAATGAATTAATATTATATCTATTACTTACTTGACATGTCAAGAGCTACGAGGAGAATGTTCTTTTGCATATTGCCCTTCTTGTCTTCTTCTCCTCTTCTGTAATGTAACGAGGAAAAAAAAAGTTGGCAGCGTGTGTATATGTATATATATATATATGTGTATGTATGTATATATACCTTTCTCTTATGAAATTGGCATTGGCAAAGCACAACAATGCGGATTTGACACGGACAATAAACACTCCAGGAATCTTGACTGCCATAGGGTACTGATCGGTATCGGCAAAGATATTTGTCCCGGGCATTCTCCCAAGCGTCTCTATCCCTGGTCGGATCGAAACAAGAATGATCTTCGCAAATGAGATCGCCACCTACAAAACAAGTCAAACCAATATATACATAAGACGACTGAAACGTAAAATATATACGTATATACGTACATATGTAAACGACTTTAAGAGATGGCAGAGTTGTAAACATTTGACTTAGACCCATCGGTTTTGTTCCTCTACCGTATGTTATATATATCAATTATAGCAAAAAGACACGTTTTTTTCAGTGTGTATATATACCGCGACGAGGAGGCCAATCTCGACGGACGCGAACAAAACGCCGAAGAAAGCTCCGATGCAAGAGAGGAAATCGAATTTATCGAGTTTCCAAATGCGATAGGCCTCGTTGAGATCGATGAGACCGGGAAGAGCGGAGAGGATGACGGAAGCAAGAATGGCGATGGGAGTGTAATAGAGAAGCCTCGTCAGACATTGGAGCACCACTAACACCGTCACTGCCATTACTATGTTCGACATCGCCGTCTCGCTCCCCGCCGCAAAGTTCACCGCCGTCCGGGAGAAAGATCCTACGTACATTTCACACATTGATTTTAATTTTATTATGTTACGGTAAGTATTTATTTTGGTTGTTTATTCGCAAGGAAAAAAACAAAGGTACCCTTTTTTTTATTTCATAAGTTTTGATTAAATTTATATATATATATATATATGTGTGTGTGTGTGTGTGTGGCCGTTCTCAAATAGGTGGGAATGTTGATAAGGTTATAAGTTTTGGTTTGCAGGTTTAGTCGGTCAATGGTTGGACCGGTTCGGGACCATTGATGTTTTGTTATGTCTGATTCATCTTCTTGCAACCCTTCTTTGACTTATGGTTGACTTGTAGGATTGGACCAATTCTGGTTTATATTATATAATGGTCCACATATCTCAGTAATGTTAGACAGTGGAGCTAATATATACGTACGCACAGACAAATATGTCCCTCTCTCTCTCTCTCTATATATATATGTATGTATATATGTATATATAATTACCAGTAGCAGTGTAGCAAGAAGTGAAGGAGCCAAGGACGTTCATAAATCCAATGGCGACCATTTCCTTGTTGCCGTCAAGTCTGTACCCTTTTATGCCAGCGAACGACCTCCCGACCGCGATTGCCTCCTGAAACATCCAACCACACAGACAAAAAATAAAAAGAAGAACCCTAACTCAAGAAGAATCAAATCAACAACAATTACTGTAAACACTACTTACAGTAAGAGCAACAACAGCAACGATCAATCCGATCTTTGCGACTTCTCCGATATGTGGATTGGTGAACTCAAGATCGTGCATGGAGATGGGATTCAAGCCTCCTTTGATGTGCCTCACGGTCTTGACGCCATGCTCGTCGGCTTTGGTGATGAAAACCATGAACGTTGCGACGATCACAGAGACCAGTGGGGCAATCGCCGGTATCCAGAACAGTTTCTTGTTCTTCTTGCCCTGTTTTTTTTTACCAAACAGTACATTCTTTATTATCTAGTTCGTATCTTTCTGGTTGTCTGAAAAGTTTAAACGTTATACATACGATGAAGCGGGCGAGTAGGATGAAAATAAGGAAGGAGCATCCGAGGATGAAGGTGTGGGGGCTCCACTGTAATAAAAAACAAACAAAAAAAAAAACGAGCGGTGAGATTCTGATGGTTGAAACTACGATGATGATGATAGAGTGAGGGGTGATCTTTACTGTCTTGGTGGTGAAGTTACTGATTCCGAGCAAACCCTTTAGCTGTTGAAGTCCAATAACAATGGCTGCTCCCGCCATGAACCCAACAATCGCCGCGTGTGACAGGAAATCCACCAGAAACCCTAATCTGTGGGAGATTAAACGCCAAAGCTATTTGACCTTTTTTTATCATCACTAGATCAAGAAAAAAGGGTTTCAATACAAGGTCGAGAACTGTACCTGAACAATCCGAAAGAGGCTTGGAAAACGCCAGCGAAAAACGTTGCTGTTAAAACCAGTTTCCTGTAACCAATGGGATCAGTTTCAGGGTCGGTTAGTTTCTGCAGCATGGAAGATATGAGGAGAGAAACCACAGCCACTGGTCCAATAGCTATCTCTCTTGAAGTCCCCATGAACGCGTAAATCAGAGGCGGAACCACACTCGAATCTGGAAGTTAGGCGATCGGTTACTTTCCACATCAGTCTTTACCGCGATTCTTTTTATACAAAAGTGCATGAATACTTACATAATCCATATTGAGGGTCAAGTTTCGCCAGAGTTGCATAACCAATGCTCTGCAAGAAGAACGAAAAAAGTACACTTGTTGATCCGAAAACCTCTGGAAAGACTATCGGAGATCGATTTCAGAACCACTCATTCGTGGGTATACCTGAGGAATGCAGAGGCTAGCGAGAGTGAGAACCGCCATGAGATCGTTCTTGAACATGGAGGCTTTGTAGTTTCTGCACCAACCCAAGATTGGGAAAACCGCTTTGAGGATACAAAAGACGCGTTCAGGGATCGGCTTGTTGCGAAGTGACTTGAACCGCTTGGCTCGAGGAACAAAGGTGTTTCTGACTTGGGTCTTGAGCTCGAGCCACGGGCTCGGTGGCGCGGGACAGTCAAGTAGCCACTTAGACCTCTCGTTCGCACCACCGTGATCAGTAGTGGTAGTGGTAGTGGTGGTGGTGGTGTTCTTTTCGAGATCAAGAACAGGATCTTCTTGACCGGCTGAAGGGTTTGCCATCTGAATCTGAACTGATTTTGAAGTGTTTGGGAGAACTTGGGAGAGAGAATCTCTGTCTGAATCTCTCTCTTCGGGATTCATTTTGTTTTTCTTTTTCAGGTGTGAGTGTGAGGAACTCGAAGAGAAGTGAGCATTCAAAGGGGTGGATGCTGAGTTGCATGGGTTGAATATCAAGTGTTTATATACACAATGAGATAGGTGGAATCCGATGGTGAAGGATTTTATTTTATTTTATTTTATTTTTTGCATTTTATTAAAGAAACATGAAATTTCATTTAAAAATCCGTCGCTCAAAGTTTTGTGGTGAAGAAAGGGTAACCAAGTTGACATCACAAGCTCTTATTTGGAGTGGATCTTCCCCTTTTTTTTTTCCATGGCAATAACGTTTAGTAGTATGTGGGAGGGAACCTCAAACGCATTCCTCCTTATCTTTATTTTTTTGTATTGATTAAGAAATATCAATATTTAAAAGCTTACAATAAAACTTAATAATGACGTATATACAAAACCACTATATCATCATTTATGTATTGATGAAACGATGAACATTCTTCTACTTACCGTTAAAAGCATGGAGTAGTGTGTGGCTTCACATGGTTATGCTATAGCCAGTAAATGAGATGTCTTTGTCGTGGCCGAGTTAAGTGGAGAGAAGACACTGTAGACATCGAATTCGGAATGATGGAAAGGGCTTAAATGATGAGACAAAAGTCAACGGGCTTTTGCCCTATTTAGTGGGTATGTATGTATGTATGCATGTATGTATGTATATACGTATGTATGTATGCTCATGTCATGACCATCGCTGAATATTCTGTCTTGTTTCCCATGCAATTATACAATGAAATGAACATAAGATGGTATGACACATACAAGTGTATGGGTGGGCGTTTCGGGAAACGGTTCGGATTCAGACGGGAATAGGTCGGTTCGGTTTTTTCGGTTTTGCAAAAATAGGTACCAATCGATTTTTTATATTATGTTCGGTTCGGTTCGGTTTCGGTATGGGTTCGGTTCAGTTCCAGATTTTATTAAAAAAAAGATAGATTTTCTTTAAAAATATTCGGGTTTTCAAGATTTTTTAAAGTTCGGTTCGGTTATGAGAAAATTCGGTTATCTAAAAATAATACGGTTCAGGAATTGAGAACAGTTTCGGATTGGAAAAAGTACCGTTTTTTCGGTTCGATTCGGTCCAGTTTCGAAAAACCGAACCGAAACGCCCAGCCCACCCCTATATACAAGTATTTTGTTTATATATGGATTAACGATTAGACTTATCATATACAAGGAACTAAAATCAGTAAGATTTCACATCGTAACTCAACTTTAATATCAAAGTATTCAATCATTTTATGATAGATGTAAAATTCAATTGGCAATATATATGCATATTATCATGCATTCAACATATGTATATACATTTTTTAAATACATCAACAATTTTTTTTTATTAATATAAATTGAAACAGAAACATTTTTGGATAGATAATCCTGCATAAAATTTTGATAGACGATTATAGAAAAACACCGCAAGATCAGATTATATCTGAGGATTGATGTAGAGACAATTAAGTTTTGATTTTTTTAATTGATTAAAAATAAATATATTTATTAAATATTAATTAATTAAATATTATATATATATATGTATCCGATTAAAATGGCAATTGATGGGAATTCAGTCACCAACAATTTGACGTCTTCTTGTCCCTCCATTATTAGAGATTCACATGAGATATAGTCGGTCGGAAACACTATTCCTCACGAAAAATTATATACTTTTATCTTTTTTTTATGGGAAAAAAAAACATATATCTTTCTAATGCTTAATTTCAAACTTAAAAACAAACATACGTGAAAGCTACTTATGCTTCAATGTGGATTTTAATCACCACTCATTGAAATTCAGAATGATGACGAGAAATAACATATGTTTTTTAATCTTGATTTCATAATATATTTTCAGAAAATATCGTAAATGACTAAGTAATCTCTCTATATTATTTTGTTCCTACGACGAATTTATATTTTATATTGAATCGTCAATTATTATGTTTTTGTTTGTTTAATATTATTATTTTGGTTGAAAACATTTGTTTTTCATTTTTAAACTCACTTTTAGTATTTCGAATGTTGAATTCGACTAATTTCAAATAACAAATGGAAATTATTAGAATTATATTTGATTTGTTTTTCAATAACCTATATACATCCATATTTTTTGATAATTTGTGTGTACATATCACTTCCGATAATTGGAATTTCACGTTTTTAAAAAACAGAGATTGGAAGACAAAGGCACGATGGAGGCGTAGGGTCGGAAAATGGGCTTGCGAAGCACTTTCAAAAGAGATACATTTTCATAAATTTTATATACGTATGCATTATTTCTATACTTGTATACTTTTTTATTATTTACGCATTAATTATTTTAAATTGAGAAACCCCAAAGCTAATAATGATAAATCAATACTATGGATAAAATTACCGCATTAGATGAATTAAAAATAATGATAATAAGTAAAACAACCAATAGAATTACCGTACTAGAGACACAATTACAAACTCTTCATGTATGTAATTTGCTCTTTTGATGTTTTATAAAATTATATATCATATCAATAATTTTGGTGAATATTAATAAGGGCTTTGGATTATATCAAGTGGGTCCGGCCCATATGTGTCTTTGGGCTGTCATCCTTTTTCTGTCTTAAAGTGGAGCTTTTATCACTAATAAAAAAAAATCGATTTTTATTTTTCATAAGTTTTTTTAAGTATATACTATAGAAGATATTAATAGAAATTGTATGTATTATATGAAAAATAATTGTTAAAAGTTTGCAGTATCCCACATCGACAAGAGGATATGTTTTGGCTGAGGCTCTCAACACACACACACTCACCTACCTGTCAATTGTCAAATCATGAATTAAAACACGTTTCGATTTATATAACTAGATGTTCGTATAATTTTCCAATTAATTGGTTTTTAAACTGTTATTCGTAATCTTGAAAAGCTAAAAAGCGTACGCATATATTTACTTTTCCGACAACAAAAGTTTTTTATATATATATATATATATATATATATATATATATATATATGATTTGAATTGAAAAAGCACTCTCACACGATATTGCAAATCA